TTTGGAGAATATTTTTATGTACTTATATGTATAAATTTTTTTGTTTGGAGATAATTGTAGATCCATATGCTGGAATATATTTTGTCAGAAAACTCCTTTTCTTAAGCCTTCTTTTTCTATTGCTGCTTTGAACCATGTCAATAAGTGAGTGCCATACTTCCCATCCCCTTTTCTAGAATAAATGGACAACTAGTGGCTTTAAAAGTCATCAGCATGAATGCAGAGGAAGGAGTCCCGTTCACAGCAATTCGGGAAGGTAAGAACCGGAAAAGCAAACCCAAGAGATCTGTTTTGATTCCTGGATTTGGTAAAAGAATGCTTTGAGTTTATCTGTTCAACATCTGTTTTTTTATATTTATGAAAGAAATATTACCATTACAATTTTATTCTTGATGCCAGTTTTCTAAGAATACTTAYACTACTATTTCATTATTTATTCTTGAGGGCGTTAAGATTCAAAACTGTTATATCACTTGACCAAAACTTTGACCTCAAACAGTGTTTCTGAATACGTTCCAAGTGTTTGGCCTCATGCTGGTTGTGAAAACTGCATCTATACAACACCAAAAAAATTCATATGAATTTTTTTTAAAATCATACAAATTATTAGTGGGAAATTTGCCTAAATGTAGCATGTTTCTTTCATCATAGTTGAAAAACTCTTTTGGGAAGGCATGCACTTTAAGTGYTGTGTCTGTATTTCCTTTGTACCCTGGTTGGTATAGCAAGTGAGGAAGGATGGACTTGGGTTTGCATTGTAGGTCTACCATTACCAGTGGTGTGGTGTTGGGTAGGTTGCMCAAGACTTAGTTTATTGTAGAGAGAAGATAATAATAGTCCATGTTTCACAAGTTGCTATGAGGATTAAACAAGAATATATATACAAGGCACTTATCACAGAGTCTGTTTTCAGACTTCAGTAAATGTKGGCTCTTATTATTCCATTCTTGCTCCTTTCTTTGGATAATTTCTTGTTAAGCAYAGAGATAACTAATAATTTACACCATAAAAATTGAAAAGCCAGGCTGAGGTAGGAGGATCACAAGTTTGAGGTCAACCTGGGCAACTTACCAAGACCCTGTCTCAAAATAAAAAATAAAAACGACTGAGGATATGGCTCAGCAGTAAAGCACTTGGCTAGACTGGGTGAGGTACTGGGTTTGACCCTCAGTACTACAAAAAGAAAAAAAAAAAGAAAAGCCAATAGAGTGAATAAATCATTAAAAATACAATGTATCAACTTTTTTACATGGGCCATTTAAAATGAAATTGAGATTACTGTCCATTTCATCAAAAAAACAAAAGAAATGCCTTTCCCTGGCTTTTCTTTCTCCCCCTTTTATCTTCTCTTCTTTACTGAGCACATATTATGTGCAAAGCATATTGCTGAGTGTTGTGAAGGATGAGAAAGCGCYAGTCTCTTTTCTATGTGGTTTTCCATGTGGAGCAGATAATTCACGGAACAAGTGTGTAAAAGATATTGTAAATCAAGACAAGAACCAGTGGTCTCATTATGGCTAATGGAGTCMGTAGATGCTGAGCTTAGGATGGGTTTATGCAAACAGGCATGGAAAAAGCAATTCAGCAAATGAGTTTATAACTGAATTTAATGCCATTTTCAAAGTCTTTCAGAGCCTCTGGGGAATACATCACTTTAAATTGAAGTGGAAGGGCCAAATGGCTGTCAGCTTAGCCAGGGACCCATCCTGGTAGGATCAGGTGCATTCTGGGGAATGCATGGTTTTAAGTGTGTAGTACCATGGAAGCTGCATTTACTGATGTACTTATTAGTGGTCCCTGTGAAAGATGATCATGTTTGGAAGAAATGTGTGGACAGGACAAAGAGTATTTCTGAATAGAATAGAAATCACCAGATCACTCTCCTTCAGGGATGGGATCCAGGTCCAGGTTCACTTCATTCTCCAGTTGTGGCCTTTGTGAGCTTGATTGTGTAAGGCCAGTGTTGCTGCTTAGCTTTTGCCCACAGCCAAGCTTTTCAGGTTGACATTTGAGGCTAACAGTGAAATCTTTTTGCTGGATTTGCTAACAGATGGTTCTCAGCATGGTTCAGAAAAGCTGGATCTGTCTTGTTCCGTATGCTAGATGCTTCTTTCATTGCACTTTTACCAACGAGCTGCCTCCCGGTCACAGGTGCTTACAATTACATTTAGTATTGAACTGAGGACATTCTTGGTTGGTTTTATGAACTTCCCTTACTGAAAGGTTTGCAATGTATAATAATAAAAACCACAAAAGGATTTTTGACACATTGGAGGTTGTTAGGCTTCCAGTTTCCAACAACGAATGTTTCTTTTTCCATCAGTATAAAAACTTGGAGTCCTTGTCAGAGAGGCCCTCTCCCTTCAAGATGTGAGGCCTCATTTAAGAACTTTGGCACTGTCCCATTTCTCCCGAAAGAACTCGAAGGATGTGCGCCCAGGGAGACAGGAGGTTAACTGAGTAGGGCTGGAAGGCAAAATAAGAACAGCTGGAGTTCATTAGTTAAAATCCAGGGTCACTAGCTAAAAAGGCAACCGAAAGCCAAGTGCAGAAAAACCAAGTGAGTACCACAGCCTGCTTTAAAAAGCCTTGAAGCAGGAATTACTTCTGAGCAGTTTGGCTGCTCTGATGGCATAGCAGCCAGAGACATATTGAGGAGGATTTTGCTACATGAAGAGTCTCTCTGTATGTTATAGGGAGAATACACGTGGCAGTTTATTAGTCTGGTCAAGTACAATACTATTTGTTTTTATTTGATCTTGACATATAATATTATGAAATTAGCAAAAGTATAAACAGCACTAAGGAAAATGTCTTAATTCAAGTTCCAGGTCCTTTTTATACCTCTTTCAATTTTCTTAACAATTTTCTTTAGCGATAGGTGTTATGATTGCACTGTAAGACACAAACTAAATCTGATTCAAAAATCCACAACTTCCTATGTATTCATTCTACAAATATTTATTGAGTACCTGTGGTGGCCAAGCACTCTGCTGACTGCTAGGTACACAGCACTGCTCATGTTTCTTACATTATTTTGCTAATTAAAAAGATCAGAAGCTTTTGCAAAAACTTCTGTCTTTCACAATTGGCTCAAAATTATATTTCAAATGTTTCTTCTCATAGCTAGAAGAAAATATGTTTATGTTTTTATATCAGGATGAAGAGTCTTCATTTTATTCAACTCTTCATCAATATCTTAGTAATATACCTTATTTTAAATATCTTTGTACAAATGTTCAACTTTTGGTTTAAACCTAGGACCTTCGATTATTACCAATATTTTCTTAGGAAGCAATTGTATAATTAACCTTTTCTAAGAACCAGGCATACAAGGTAGCCCCTCTCCATAATCAATTTTTTAAACCCCTTCATGAACTCTTGGTAGTAAAAAGTGTTATTTTTGTTGTAGAGATGAAAGAATCTATCTGAGTTTCAGAGAGGTTAGGTGACTTGTCCAAGGTCMCAGAGCTAGTAATAAGAGTTATTAGGTATTAGAATCCATATCTATTCTATTTAAAATTTTTTCTACTTTATTATATAAATTTGGAAATGCTTGGTCTAAGCATTTCTTTTTTAACAAGATTAAAAGTGAAAATAGAAATCTGTTTTTATGATGTTCTCTGTATGAAACATTAAGGAAAATGCAGAAGAAACATTTTTAAAGAAAATAATATTGTATATTTAGCAATTCTGATTCTATCATTGATTCTACAACACCAGTAATTGCATTCTCTAAATTGGAAAGTTTCAGCTAAGGATCTTTTAAGACCATTTGCTTTTAGGAAAATTACAGAGTAATTATTTCCAATCCATACAAGAGAAAAGTAAGCCAAAAAATAGTYCAAGGAGCCTTGCTGAGGTCATGGGATGAGACAAAGGAGGAGTGTGATTCGAATCTCAGAATTGTTCCTGGTGTGGTAGAGCATACCTGTAATCCCAGCTACCTGGGAAGCTGAGGCAGGAGGATAGCAAGTTCAAGGCCAGCCTGGACAATTTAGCAAGACCCTGTCTTAAAATAAAAACATTGACAAATAGTCTGCAGTGGAATGCAAGCAAATCACATCACCCACAGCAAATTCACATGTGCATGGTTAGATCTTTATAAAACAAAATGAAGGTATGTGATGGAGATTATAATTCCAGAAAAATCAGATGATAATCTCCTCCTCCTCCTCCTCCTCGGCCTCCCCTCCTCCCCCTCCTCTTCCTCTTCTTCCTCCTCCTCCTCCTCTTCCTCCTCCTCCTTCTCTTCTCCTCCTTCTTCTTCTCCTTCTCCTTCTTCTTCTTCTTGCATCAGGGATGGAACCCAGGGACATTTAACCACTGAGCAACATCTCCAGCCCTGTTATTATTTTTTTATTTTGAGATAGGGTTTTATTAAATTGCTTAGGGCATCCTAAATTGCTTAGGCTGGCCTCAAACTTGCAATCCTCCTACCTCAGCCTTTTGAGTTGCTGGGATTACAGATATGTGCCTCTGTACCCGCCCAGAGGATAACTTCTTATCTGACATTTTTCTTAATGTTTATCTAGATTGTATCTTTTATTGGCATGTATAACTTGACTCATTGACCTGATTCCATGTCAGAGAAAATGGGACTATAACTGCAACCCCAATTTTTTTTTTTTTTTTTTTTGTAGTGCTGGGGATCAAATTCAGAGCCTCATGCCTGCTGGTTCAGAGCTTTACCACTGAACTACACCCCCAGCACACCGACTCTTTTTTATTCAATGTCTAGTGGGAGTTGAGGTGGGTTGCCTTATTGACTCCTACATAAACTCATTACAAGTGGCCTGCTCTTTATTAATTCTCAGTACTTATTRAGCACCACATTCAAGGCCTGTGTTAGTGCTGGAGATGGGAAAATAGGGATGGATTCAATCCATACTCAAGGAGCCCACAGTCTGGAGAGGACTCTGACCTGCAGGCACTCACCACGACTTGGGGAGGCAGCCTTGCTCTCCCTTGTCATCATCTTCCATATTTTCTTCACATCTCCAGGACAAGGAAGAGACATTGTGACTCATTGCACTTGAAAAGCATTACTTTTCCTAAAACTTCATTAAGCCACAAAATCCAATGAAATGGACAAAACCAAGATATTAAATATTCTCTTATCATTGTGAGATGAAAGTGATAATTGCTGAATTTTGAAATAGCTTAAATTATCATATTACTATCTAGATTTGTAGATATCTTATGAACAGAATCAAAATCAACCATGCATGATTTTTCCTGATCTTTGGGATTGTG